TCAGTAAGTAGGTTTTCTAATGTAGCTATCATGTCTGTTTTTTTGCAGCATCTGTCCTATGGTAATGGCAGTCTCCACGTAGATGCGGCCTTCCAGCAGACACTGTGGAGTGTGGCTCCCATCTGTTCTGGCAGTGAAGTAGCACAAGGTACACCTGTCTCAGTTTTACAATTTGACATAATGAACACAGCTTAATTCGTCTGGTTATCCGACTGAGAGCATAACAATGGGTAGGCATGGTAGCATGCGCACCTATCTGGTGCTCCTTTATATGTTTCTCCCTGCCTCTTCTCCTTCCATTTATTTTTTTACTCCTTTTTATTTTTTATCCTTTCCTCCTTTTCTGCTCTTTCATCTGCAGGTTTTTTGGTTGGAGGGGATGTCCTGCGTCTCCTTCACGGTCACATGGACGAGTGTCTCACTGTTCCATCTGGGGAACATGGGGATGAGCAGAGGAGGTAACGAATACTGATAATGGGATAATATGTAACTCAGTGCTCTTGAGTGGTTCCTATCTGTCTGACTGTAATTTCTAGGCTGAGCTATCTTAATTTCTTTGTCTATCAAAATGTTTGCATGTTTGTTCTGGCTACATGCTTCTACTTCGGATTATAATTAGTGGACAGTATATTACACTGGCCAGTAGGTATGATCCTGTGCTTATCCAAATGTGTTCTTGCCTGCATAATCAAAAGTTAGTAAAAAAAAAAAAAAAAAAAAAAAGTTTGGCACAGACAACAATATTAGTGTTTCGAACTGATTGGATAGGCAGCCTACAGTCCACTTCCACAGTTTCCCTTTGCTCAACAGCTCTTTTTTGTTGTTTTCCAGCACAAACACATTGACTGCACAGAACGAACTGTAATGGCTCACACTGCACACCCACCCACGACCCCACTACTTGTCAAACATCACACACTCAAGCAAATCACCTGCACTTACTTATGTATGGATTGGAACAAGCTACTTACTGTTAGTATTCTAAATGTTAGTTGATCTAAAGTAAACTTTTTGTATTATTTTTGTCAGGGGTCATGCACAGTAACTAAGAGAGAGGAGATGCTGGCATCTGGCCTCATTCCAGGAACTTTTGAGCTATTAGGCTTTATTTCTAACCTCAGGGCTACTTAGAACCCAAGTTGCCCGTTTATTGTTTCTGCCAGCCCACCTGGTCCTGGATGATGCTCAATTATATATTTGTGTTAAACCAACTCCAGCTGGAGTTTCCAATGACTCCATTAACTGAATTTTCTATGATAGAATCATTGTAACCCATGCATCTTTGTCACATAAAACAATCACACATTTTGGTTCTTTTATAGGTTTGTTAAAGGACGTCTGGAAATACTACAAAATCTGCTGGGTCAAAAATATACATACAGAAATGTTAATGTTTGGTTAAAGGTCCTTTGGCCATTTTCACCTCAACTTGCTGCTTTTGGTCGCTGTCCACAAGCTTCTGGTTGTATTTGTGACCACTCCTCTTTACAGAATTGGTCTAGTTAAACGAAGTTTGTCGACTTTCTGGCACAGACTTGTTTCTTCATCCCAGTCCACAGGTTCTTGATGGGGTTTGGGTCATGAATTTGGGAGACCACCATAAAACCTTAATTCTGGCCTGTATTTATTTATTGTCATTACAAATTCGAAACGAAAGTAATCATGGTTCTTCATTAATGCTTATTGCATGGCAGCCTCTTAGCCCAGTAAAGCACACTTGACCGTGGACATGGACAGCTGCTTTTTGGTGATTCTTAGTTTACTCTTGACCATGCTGACCAATTGTCTGTCAGCAGCAGGTGATAGCTTGTTTTTCTCCTTTATCGTGGCAGTGACACAACTGTACCATGCATACTTACTAAAAACTGTTTGCACAGTTGATTTTGAGATCTGTAGCTGAAATTGCTCCAAGTGACTTTCCTGACTTGTTCAAGTCAATGATTTGCTTTTGTAGATCTGTGCTGAGCTCCTTAGACTTTCACGTTGTAGCACACATACAGTATACAGCTTCTCTGGTGAGGAAATTACCATGGCCTACAGGGAGACCACGTAGCAATTCCCATTACAGACTCAGCACTGTGCTGTGACTGAGATGATTAATAATTATAGTTTTAAGTTTCTACCAAAGGAGACAGCTATGTTGTTAAACAATGTCACTGACAGTGACTATATTTTCCTCTTGACTGACTGCTGGGGTTCATTACCGTGAGACTGAAGTATCCAGGTGCTGGCAAATTCAAGACAACTGAATTTGCTGGGCAAAAAGTACATTTGAGAATGCACAATGGTACTTATGGAAAAAACTGCTGTATGTAATTTGGCGTGATTGTATCATTTTTACCCTCAGGACAGTGCACTATGAGGGGGGAGCAGTGTCCAGTCATGCCAGGTCCTTGTGGAGGCTGGAGACACTACGGGTGGTGTGAGTTCAACATACACATGCCGTATACATGATCACAAGAAAAAATTCTGGTCATCCAAAAAATCCAAACCAGTCTCAGATAGTGGCCACGATCTATCCTTTTATATATTCCTCAGAGAACCAGGCTTTCATTTCCCCTGTTTGGAGTGCAGTGTATTTTATTGTATTTGATTATATTCTGTATCCATCTAGACAATCTTAGTAATGTACTTTAAATATTGACAATATAGTTTTAAGTACTTGAATTAACCAATCATAGCATGTTACAGTATTATAAGGGGTAATTGTATTCACTAGCATTTTTGCATTGCACAACCTTAAATACACAACCTGAAATACCTTATATGCATCAAAAATATGGTATAATATAGTAAAATATGTTTACTTGTTCAACAAATGATACTGTTCTGGTTAATTGTGTCAGAAACCTTTTTGTCTTCTGAACCGTCTATTTGTCGTCTTTACTGGCTATTTTTCCAGCTTAGTAAAAGGCTAGTCACTCCTTGCACAGTTTGTTCCTTGGAAACAGGGGTGTGCAGCTAGCTTGGTTTATTTGTCAGCAGATTTTTCCAAATGATGTTTTCATCAGTTCTGTTTGTGTACAGAACATTACATACGCCATACATCGAGCTTTCTAGGTGCTTCTAGGCAAACAGAGGCTTACCAGCAGTTTCCTCTTGCTTCCTGCCTTTATACTAAGCTGACCTAGCCACTTCCTGAATTATGCTGATGTCTTTATTTTAAAATAATAATTACAATGGTAATAATAATAATTTCCCAAAATGTTGAGCTATTTATTTATTTTGATTTCAATATTGTTAATGCTGAGTAGAATCTAGCTAGACAGTGACAGTAGTTTTGGTATATTTTGGTAAAAACCCACACATGAAAACATGGTAGTGTTGTTCTTGAAAATATACTGAACACACAGTCAGCAGCTGTCATTGGAACGAGCCTACTTTATGAAGACACATGTTTTATGACTAGTTATTTTACAATGACATGTTCTTGGTACAGGCACAACTAAAATGAATTCAACCATTATAAGTGGTATCAGTTGCTCCTGTGTTTGATTAAAATGTCTCCCTTCATAAATGTTTTCTGCTGACTAAAATAAAAAAAATAATAAAAAAAAGCAGTTATGGAAAAATGTCTTAAACAGGCTGAAGTCTTGCTGCTGTTGCTTTGGTGCATCTTTGCTGTGAACATCTGTTTTACTTGAAGGCACAGGATTGTGCACTGGAGCAAGTGAATGTGAACTTTCTGGCTTCTGGTTCACCTTGTACACTCATTTGACCTTATTTTCATTTAAACCTAAACAGTACATAATATAAACTGTAACTGATTGTTTGTTTGTTCATCAGGTCACAACTGAGCAAACTATAAACACAACATTAATGTAATCTATTATCAACCATGATGCGGAGGAACATTGCCATTTATTGATAATCATGTATGTTGGTCCAATGATCACTCTGCTTTTAGCTCTGGTTTGGTTGCTAAATGTTCATCAGCTATTCTTTACTTGTTTGTGTCAGCTGTTTGGTGGGTGGATGAGAGCAGAGTTTACAAGTTGTAAAACTGAAACCTACCACATCTTGGTAGGCATCACTGGGGCATGCAATACACAACTTGTGTACTGTGTTTGTATTCTTGTTACCATTAATTACCACATTAGACTAGTCATTTGCCAACAAGCATTCGAGTTTCAAAAGACTGTCCTACCTTATTTTGGGAGTTCAAGGCAGTTTAATCAAAGACAAATTAACAAAATACATACTGTATATAAAGTGGGGGGAGGGGGAAAATCCCACTACATGTTGCAGTTTGTCATTTGCTCCATGGGTAATGTAATGTAGGTTTTTAAAGGGTCTCTATGCTGGATAGGCAGTATTTTTCGGCTTCACTTGGCAAAAAGTTCATACTAATCTTTCAGTATTTTGAAGTTCAAATGGTCTGAGAGAAAACTAGATGTCTGCAGCTACTCCTGACTCTGTTTTAGGGCTTTAGGAATATCTAGAGTGTGACAAGAGATTTCAGCCATTCAGAAGTTTTTACCAATCAGATGAGATAAGCTGGAGATGAGATTGCATAAATAGCAACAAAGCCAATGGTGAGAGCAAGATATGTACGTGCAGTGGATTAGATGAATGCCATGGATAAGGTCTGAATCTCAGGTGGAGCCACAAATACATGCTGCCTTTTGTCAGAATCCATTCTGCATTTTTTGTGTTTCAAATGTGCAACATTTATTCCACATTTGAAACACATTTGTGTGTGCTGGGAGGAATTTAGAACAGAGAGGGCAGAGAGAACACCTGCAGGAGAAGGGCTGTCCATTTGTTAAATCTGGTATTTATATGAATTTGCATTTCTGTGCATTTATTTAGTATGCAACATTCATGATTCTGACTTGTGCTGTGTTTGTGTCTAGGTGGAGTGGTAGTCATATCCGCTGGGGTCAGCCGTTCAGACTGAGACATGTTACCACAGGGAAGTATCTGAGTCTCATAGAAGACAAGTCTCTGCTGCTGATGGACAAAGAGAAAGCTGATGTCAAGTCTACAGCCTTCTGTTTCAGGTCCTCCAAGGTATAGTGTCAACAACATCCACAGCACTGGCTGTGAAGGCCCCAATGTCCTCTATCATATCGTCATAACAGAGGAAAAATTTCTATGATGTATATGAAGAGGCGGGTCAGAGTATTTTACAATTTTAATCAACGCTAAGCATCATTTTGACCATAAAGGTCTTACAGCACTAAAACACAAGGTCCGTGGTTAAAATACAGTCTTGACTCGATAATCCAAATCTTAACAATCCAAAAACTTTCCCGACAGGTTTTTCGGAAAAACGAATGGAACCCATGAAAAATAGCTTTAACATACCAACAGCCTTGGATTCTGACTCCAACATGACATTTTATGTCACAAATAAGGATAACGTCATATTATCTGACTTAACAATCCAACAGATTGGCTACGTTCAGACTGCAGGGCTTAATTCTCAATTCTGATGTTTTTGTGAAATTCGATTTTTTGGTGAGTTCGTTCACATTTCCAATTAAATGCGACTTGTATGTGATCTGCTGTGTGAACGTCATACGACCCAAAAGTGTCCTGCATGCGCAGAAGAGGACACAACGACATCACATGCAGCGAGCAAGTGTTTGTGGAAGTAAACATGCATGGTAACGGTGTAGTGTATCTGCCACTCCCCCGCCACCGCCGCCGCCACCAATGGTGGAAACAGAAGTGTGACTGCTATCCTAAACTGGCATCAGCAGCCAAGTACTGCCTGCGTGTTCCGACCACTTCCACCCCATCCGAGCGCTCCCCCCGGGGTGGAAGTGGCTGTTCAAGCATCAAGCCCCTCCTTATATCTCGACCTTCATCTTGACAATCCAACAAACTTGCTATCCGACATAAAAGACGGTTTTACATTTAGTGTTGGATTATCGAGTCACGACTATATTTGAAGTCTTTACAAAGACTGATGTTCTGTAAAACAGCTCAGTGTGTCAGTATTAGTTAACTTATTCAGTTTTTCTCCTCCTTTTGTTTTACTTCAGGAAAAATTGGACCCTGGTGTGAAGAAGGAGATGGATGGGATGGGCATTCCTGACATTAAGTATGGTGACTCTGTGTGTTACATCCAACACGTTGACACCTGTCTGTGGCTTACGTACCAGACTGTTGATGCCAAGTGTGCCCGCATGGGTGGAGTACAGAGAAAGGTACTGTATCCCACTGAGCCATACCTCCATTTTTTACCACTTTTTATCACCCGTGCCCTGTTCTGTAGCTGTAGCTCATGTCCAGGTTGCTGTTTACCAACTGGCAGGAACTGATGTTGACAAGAGTATCATGAGATTAAGAGGTTAACACCAGTGTTTATGACCCTTTCACAATGTTACAGTAAGCTTTATGTGCATCCATACATGCTTGTAAGTCACTATAAAAGTTTGACTTAAGACTTTCCGAAACAACTTACTGTATGTGGTAAAGAAATGACACTGGCAGCACAGAAAAAAGGCCCAACTTCTGAACAGAGCTAATGTCAGTAAGTTAAGGGATCGAAGCCAACCTGCTCCTAGAGTGAACCAGCCACACATTTGTTAAATGGGATATTTTAGTCATAGCATTTAGATAGGCTGTGTGTAGGCATTTAGAGCACATATTGGATGGAATGCATAATAAAAGTTAGGAAAGATGAGGGAATTTCATAGAATCACCCCAGCTGCCTTGATTCTACTGCTATTGACAAACAAGTAAGTTGGTTCTCAACTACTAGTGTAGTAGCTGATGGAAAATAGGTAAAACAATTACCAAAAGTCTTCTCTGTGTTCCAAAGCTGAATCACTTCAACTAAAAACACTCCCACAAAATATTGGATATGCATTCACTCTTCATCCATGCTCAAGCACAAAGCAACTCTATCTCATTGTACTTGCTTTTAAGGCAGCTCAAATTTTACATAATGGTCTCACAAGAAACCACTTACTCTGTGAATTGGAAATGATTGAATTAATTTGATAGTAATAGGAGTTAGAGATCTATTTTTATACAGATTTCAATAGAAACTTTTTTTCCTTTCTTCAGGCCATCATGCACCATGAGGGTCACATGGACGATGGACTAACGTTGTCTCGGTCGCAACACGAAGAAAGCCGCACTGCCAGGGTCATCCGGAGCACTGTCTTTCTGTTCAACCTCTTCATCAGGTGAATTATCTCACACCAACCCCATACAGTGCAGTAGCAGAAAGTAGCAGAGGATAAAGCTGAAGTGTGTATCATGTTGCATTAAACACAAGCAGCAGCATAATGATCAGAAAAGTGACATTTTGCCATTGACTGGATTTATTGCAAAAAAAAACCAAAACATCGATACACTTCTAAAATAGACTTCGCTTTTGAGGTTTCTTCCTAACTAATTCAGGCAGCTGTGACGAACTGAAAAGGGACAAGATGACCAGTCAGCTACAAAACAGTCTTGTGTGGATCTAAACAACATTTACACCTGGTATTAATCTGTATTTGGATAACTTATCTTTAAACAGAAATACATATTGATCCATCCAGAGCGCAGTGGGATTGCAAAGCCAAGTGTAAATGCAGTCTGTACAGTGTGACTACATTTTGAAGAAAACAAATTAATCCCACAAGAAAGGTCACCTGACTTGCACAATCAAAAGCTTCAGGTGATACCAGAAACTTGATGATGATGATGATGGTGATGGAGAAAATAGAGTCTTGCCTTCCTGACTTATGATGTAATAATGTGAACAACAGTAATTTACATCTTTCACATCTTGGGTAAATGAGAAACATGTAAAGTACAACCAATGTAGAAAAACTTCTAAGTTTGGATTTACTATTTACAAGCAAATGGTTCTACACCATGTGACTGTTTATGTAAAGCAGCCAGCAGCTGTTATTCAGTTTCAGCTGTCACTCTTATTTCAAAGATTTGTGTGCAGAAAACACAGTACTGCCTTCCATAGAAAAACATGTTGAGCTCTAAACAAATGTTTTCTAAAATAAGTGAATCAGTCTTTCAATTTGGAAAAGTTCTGATTGTCAAACTTAGCAAATCAAGTCTATTGTTAACATAATGAGCTGCACTCTGTCTGGGCTAACTGACTTTCTTCAGTGTCAGTATAAAGTATTTAGACATCTTCAAGTTGTTAGACATAGAAGTAAGAAGACTCATCATTGTCAATGTGACTCACCACCATTGTATCATCTAATGCTTAGTCATGGTGTTGGAAGTATGTACATGCATGCAGTTAGGGTGAAAACAGGAAGTAGAGGACAAGACTCAGGACACAGCATAATGGAACACCACTGTTCAGAATAAGGGTTAAGGAGGTGGGATCTCTTACACCTAACCAACTGGGGTCTGTTGGTTAGGAAGTCCAATATCCAGGAGCAGAGGGAAGAATCAATGTTAATTGGTGATTCTAAATTGTCCGTAGGTGTGAATGTGAGTGTGCTTGGTTGTCTATCTCTAAGTGTAGCCCTGTGATAGACTGGCGACCTGTCCAGGGTGTCCCCTGCCTTTGCCCTGAGTCAGCTGGGATAGACTCCAGCCCCCTGCAACCCTAGTGAGGATTAAGTGTATAGATAATGAATGGATGGATATTACTCTAAACAAATATGTCTTCACTTTGACATTAAATAGTCTTTTTTGTGAATTCTAGCACAAAAAAGAAATTAAGCGCACAGGCAATCCCATAAAAGACCAGAAAGAAATTATGAAAGATAATTGTGAGTAAAATTTTTTTTAAAAAAAGGTAAAAAGCCGCAACAAGGACATCATGGATCACTGGAAACACTGATCAGTTGAAACACACCTTTTTAACAGCAATCTTTAATGAAGTGACCTTTGGGTTTTTTATATGTTTTATATTTTTAACCAAACAAACTATGCTGTTTCTTTAAAATAAATTTAATTGGTTGAAAACTGAAACCAGTTGTAATTCTGAGCAAAGACATGCTGTAGAAATAAAATGTCTAGCATGTGATTTTAGCCTGGAACACATTGAATGCAACTTTTACATATAAATGAGCTTGCAACAAAAGCTGAAATCCTATTGCACATAAGTTCTGTGTCAGTCTTCACACAGCCTCTTTTCTTGCGTTTTAAGGGTGATGATTGACATCTGTCTTCTGTAGGGGTCTGGACAAACTAAGAAAAAAGGGAAAGAGCTCTACCTTGGATCTCCCGATAGATTCAGTCAGCCTGAGTCTGCAGGATCTGATTGGCTACTTCCAACCAGCTGGAGATCATCTGGAGCATGAAGACAAGCAGAATCGACTTAGGGCTCTAAAGAATCGGCAGAACCTCTTCCAAGAGGAGGTAAGAGGTGTCTTTGTTTTGGTCTCATTTTCCTAAATAGCTATGAGCAGGAAGTCGCATTACCTGTACAGACTCTGTTTCCTTTCCTTTCATCAAAAACACTGTCAACAGAGATTAGTGTGGCTCTGCAAAATGTGACTCTCTGACCAATATAGTTCCATTTTCATTTATATTGAATTATAATTCACTTGCCAATTGGTTGGTTTTTACTGCATTTAACTAATATATATGTATGTGTGTGTGTGTGTGTATATATACACACACACACACATACAGTGCTTTACATATTGATTTTGTTAGAAATTACACACTGTTGATTTGTTATGACACTGTAAAATTTTACAGTTATGATACTGTAAAATTTGGATCAAATCAAATCAGAAGCTTCAATCTGATTTTGTGATTGAAGCCACACCCACAAGAGGGACTTGAAATACCCTGTCTTACCTTGATGCCTCTGTATGATGGGCCAATGTGAACATGAATCATTCTACTCTTTCTAAATATCTCAGTAATGTAGAACATTTTAAAATAAAATAATGTACTCTGTTTTAATTGTTAAAATAACAGACAGGTTTTCTTTTTGTTTTAAGAGTAAATACATTTTTTCTTTTAATGTATCACACAGCAATAGAAAGGAGACTGTCCACCTAAGTCTTTCTTAATACTATTATTTCTTTCTTTCTTTAGTAGACAGACTTTTCCCTCATTTATAGTAAATCTATTATTGATATACTGCTTTATCCTTTGTACATGTCATGGGGCAGCTGGAGCTTATCCCAGCTGACTATTCCAGCTTATCTATCTCTCTGTGTGGTGCAATGCAATAATTGTCCAGGGTGTACCCTGCCTTCGCCCTAAGACAGTTGGGGTAGACTCCTGCCCCTCTGTGACCCTTCAGAGGATAAAGCAGAATATAGAAAATGGATTGATGAATTAATCCAGCTTTCTCCACTGTTTATCTAAAGCACTTGTGCTGCTGACACTCCTCAGGAGCAGCAATTCATCTCTGGCATAGAATGCTCTGGTGTACCAGTGGCCCCAGAGTCTGCTCTTCACTTTACCTCCTTCTACTCATCTCCAGCATGTCCTGCTGGAAGGAGTGAGGCTGCTCATGGAGGCTTCACTTTGGCCCCACATGCCTCTCTTAGGTCGAATGCCATGGCAGCTCCCCCTTTGGAGGGACTTACTGTCTCAGGCGAGCAGGACACTGTTCCACACCTTCCCTGCGGCACTCAGATTGGTGTCCTACCTTGGGGAGAGACAGGCTCCTTGCCTTAGGCTTGCTAGAGCCTGTAGTGAGGACTATGCAGAAAGTTCAAGCACTATCTACTAGGGCTGCCTACTCATCCTGTTGAGGGGTATTTACTGCTTGGTGTGAAGCTCACCAGGTTGACCCCTACTAAGGCGGTCAGGTCTTCTGTTACTTTGCAAGCGATCAAAGCAGTTCTTGTTGGTGAATATATACTGAATGAGGATGACTGTTATGGCTGATAGCTGTGTGTTTCACATTTACTCATAATTGCCCAGGGACTTGCAGGTTGCAAGACTAGACTTTGGGTCTTTTCATGGCACTTGGATGTAGTCCTTTGTGCACTTCAGTATCCCTCTTTAGAGCCTCTTTGGGTTTCAGATTTGAAATGGCTTCCCCTTCAAACAACACTTTTGCTCTCTATAACTCCTGCCAAGAGTGTAAGCAAGTTTCAAGTATTATAGGTTCACAGCTACTCCTGCAGGTTTTTGCCAGAGGGGTCAGGTGTAGTCCTCCGTCCTAATTCAGCATTCCTTCCTGACATGGTATCAGAGTTTCACCTGTATTAGTTGATCGAGCTGCGGTTTCTTTGAAAGAGACCTGGAGGACCGGCACCAGTCTAGGCTTTGCCCTGTCACGGTTTTTACAGAGTACCTCCGGCATATGTGATCTGTCAGGAAGACTGATCAGTTCTTGGACTGATTTGACTCCAGCACTTTGGGCAAGCCCTTGTCAAAAGCTATGTCCTGTCCCACTGGGTTGTAGACACAATTCGGCAGATGTATATGCTCTCTGGGGTGTGTGTCCCATCCGGGATTTGGGCACACTCAACTCGTAGTGTAGCTCCCTCATAGACTTGTGACCGGGAGCCTCTCTCACCACCATATATGCAGCAGCCACAAAGGCATCTCAGTCCATCTTTTCACAATTCTATTGTCTGAATGTTGCAGTCAGTCTGTCCTTTTCAGAGTCAGTGCTGGGGGGTGACTCATTGGTAGATGACTGAGAAAAAACAGGCGTCTGTTCACCTACGGTGCCTCACTTAGTCAACTTAGTGACTTGTAAGTTGATCTGAGTGATCAGTTAATGTGTGGTCCTTGGGTCAGTCTTGCTTCTGCCAGACCAACCTACACAGCTCTGCATGTGTGCGCGCGTGTGTTGTCATATTATACATGAGTGCATGTGTGTGTGCATACACTTACATGTTATTTACATATAGATAGATAGATAGATAGATAGATAGATAGATAGATAGATAGATAGATAGATAGACATTTGTCGTCATATGCACAGCATGAAAAACAGCACACTCCATATACATAGTAAAGAATATAAATGTATGTAAATAAAATAATAATATAAATAGAAAGGAATAAAAAGAGACAGAAAATAAGGTGCATATAGACTATTTACAAGTAGCAGCATCAGTGAGGTGATGTAGCAGCAGATAAACATTTAAAGTGCCTGGTGACACATGTTAACTGAATTGTACATTAAAGGGCAGTGATCAGTCAATGTTTCTGATTGTTCAGGAGTCTGATAAAAGTCAATCTATCTCTCTATCTATCTATTTATTTATTTACTTATTTACTTACTTACTTACTTACTTACTTACATGATCCCGTGTGCTGTAGCACAGATGAAGGTGCTATGGCTTAGACTTTGACCTGAGGTCAGAGTTCACAGACAGGATCAGGAAAGAAGCTTTTCCTCAGTCTCTCTTTGTGTAGCCATTCAAACAGTCAATTACTATGGTGGTGGGGTCCTCCATAATCCTGCTTGCCCTGACCATGCTCCTCAGTCAAGAGATAGCCTCCTTAGTCGAAGAACCAAGGTTACAAAATAACTTTATGTTATGTGGGGTGTAAGGAGAGGACCCAAATGCAGAGGCAATATAAAAATAACTAAAGCACATAAGGTTAATAAAAAAAAACCAAACAAACAAACAAAACAGTCCACAGGGAGCAGACAAAGTGAGAAAAGACGTTTATAAAGTTTGAATGCAGTCTACAGTATGTCTCTAAGTGACTGCAGAGTCACTGTTCGCAGTTCTGAACATCTGCAGCTTGGCATAAAACCTGCTGCTGTGAACCACCTCTCTCTATTATTCACTTCATTTGACGACAGTGCCCTACAAAGACTAAATGCAGTAACTACATATTTTGTCAGTAGCTAGTTAAGACCATAATCTGCTAGTTGATATTTGTTTTGTCAAACTGTAATTAATGTCAACTTTTTCCTTAAATTAAATCAATTTTGGTGAACCTATATTTTTGAACTTTAGTTTTTCACCCAACAAAAAATGGCAGTGGCTGAAGAAGTCCAAAAAAAGAATGAAGAAATTACCTCTAATCTATTTGCAAGTGCTTACCTAGTCTGCCTAAAGATTCTAAATGCCTTTTTATCTTAGTTTTTTTTTTTCTGCAGGGACTACTTTCTGCCTTTGTAGAGCACTACAAAGACAAGCATTATTGGAATCTGGCTGAATACAGCCGTTAAACCAACAACTTCTGTGTCTGTAGGGGATGATCAGCCTGGTATTGGAATGTATTGATCGTCTCCACGTCTACAGCAGTGCAGCTCATTTTGCTGAGGCAGTTGGAAGGGATGCTGGAGAGGCCTGGAGCTCCATTCTCAACTCCCTCTACCAACTACTGGGTAAACGCACTCACATGCACGGACAGAACATTTTTGTAACTCACATTTTATTTCCGCAGTTTAGTAATTAGCTAAAACCACATATTAGGGCTTTATATTTTCATATTCACATTTTTAAAAGAAATGACAAATCTCTTCGCATAATGATAAGATTAATATAAAGGGTTGCGCCATCTGCTGACAGAGAGCTGCTAAGATATAGTTAAAATGTGTGTTTTTACAGTTTGTTTGGGTTGCCATTTTCATACAGGAAGGGCACTTCTTGATTTTACGTCTCTTCTCCTCTCTTCACCCCTTTTTGTCTGTCCGTCCTCCTCCCAGCTGCACTCATCAGAGGAAACAGGAAGAACTGTGCCCAGTTTTCTGGCTCGTTGGACTGGCTGATTAGCAGATTGGAGCGACTGGAGGCTTCTTCTGGTAGGTCAGCTCATCTGGACAAGATGCTCATAATGTCCAATTAAATACATTGGGCTCCAAAAGTCTGAGACTATATTGAAATGCTGCCATATTTTAATGTAAACCTGAAAATACATCAAATTTTAGGGTGAGCAGGTTAGTTGCAATGTCCATGTAAACTCCATTTTGTTAAAAACAAGGAAGTTGAACCCAGAAAACAGACCAGAGCATAGAGAATAATTTACCGGGTTTATTAGAACAATAATCTTGAAGACGTCCAGAAGATTGAGCTCGGAGTTGTCTGGATTTAATGTTGGCCAGAGAGGCTGGAGGTAGAAAGAGAGGAAGCGGGCAGTACTAGAGAGATGTGGGCTGATTTCAGCAGAGTGAGTTGAGCAGGCTAGAGTAGAATTTGTGCTGGTGGCGGAGCATTGAGACTGAAGCAGGCAGTATGGCTCATAGCTGGGTTTTTGACAGATCTGACAAAGTGGGTATGAACCAGAGACGGATTTACTTGACAATAAAGCATAGACAACTGACGTAGACAAACTGGAGATGAGACAGCTGGCCTTGTATTAGTGCCATATTTGCAACTGAGCGATCTGTTTAAGAGTAAAATGAAGAACCAGGGGATTTTTATGCTGCTAGTTTTGACTGAAAGATTAACTTCAGGTGTACAGATAATCAGGCAGCAGGAAGAAACTCAGGACTGGGGTTTTACCAGAAAGAGAGACAGACGGACAGACAAGAAATAGGAGGAGGAGGAAATAAATGCTAATTTTTTCAAGACAAAGTACAAAATGGAAAAAATAAATACATAACAAGATTCAGAGGGACTCAACTGATAAAAGTGTGTGCCTCACAACTCCGAAAAAAATCTGGGCATAAATGGGTTAAGGACTGTGACAGTCAAAGTTTAGAGCACAATATTATGGTGAAATGGTATTTCTTAGTTGGATGCATACAACTAAGAAAAAAGTCTTAGAAAGTGAAACAATATGTCCTTTATACTCATTCTTTTTTTATGTTCCAGGTATATTAGAAGTGCTTCACTGTGTGCTGGTGGAGAGTCCTGAGGCACTAAACATAATCAAAGAGGGGCATATCAGATCAATTATATCTCTGCTGGACAAGCATGGTCGCAATCACAAGGTACAGGCAACTTGTTTTATTCTTCTACACAAACAAATAAGGTCACACAGACATACAATGCTGTACAAATAAAGGTTATTTAGAATTAAAACTAATGTGAAGATATGTGTTACAGTGGCTCTTCTGTATGATCAGACCACTCAGGCCAGCCTTTGCTCCCCACATACATTGTGAAGCCTGGGGGCGCCCTATGATCCTCTTGCTACCTTACATGTTGTCCTTCCTTGGACATTTGTTGATACGAACTACTGCATAGCTGTCTAATGTATCCTACATTTTGACAGATGCCATCGTAATGAGATCAATCAATCAGTGCTATTCACTTCACCTATCAGTGGTTTTGATGTTTAATGTTGTGGCTGATCGTGTATATAACAAGTTTCTCACAAATCCAGTAGTTTCCATTGCACACCTTGGAATCAGTTTAAAAATTCTGTGCAAATGATCCACATGGATATTTGTGTGTTTGTGTTTGACAAGGCCTGCAGGAATCTGCAGGCAGATCTTGAGGCAGCTAAGGCTGTGGTGCAGGGTGAACAAGCACACTTCTCAAGCTGTCTTTGTTTTAAATCCCTTTGGTAGAGTACATTGTTTTCAGTTCCTGGAGGGCACTCATTGAGCACGGTGTGATAACCAAGAATTATTTCTCAAGGCAAAGTAAACCTCTTGTGACACAAAGCTGTAGCCTGCCCTATTAAACCAATTTATCAGGAGGCCCGCAGTTAAGTGTATATGTCACTGTCTGTTTGCATGTGTGTGTTTATACTATAACTACGACATCCTCTCTGGTTTGTGCATGCTGTCTAGGTTCTAGACGTGTTGTGTTCACTGTGTGTGTGTCACGGCGTGGCAGTGCGCTCTAACCAGCACCTTATCTGTGACAACCTGCTGCCAGGAAGAGATCTGTTACTGCAGACCCGCCTGATCAACCACGTAAGCAGGTATACACGCACAAATACACACACAATAACAGAATACCTGTTGTGATGGTCAAAGTATTCAGCACCACCTTTATGTAGCTGTCAGAGTAACTATGCTGATATATTCACATACTGAGTGGCAGAATCCAACTGCTTCACTTCTCCCAACAGCTTGCGTCCCAACATCTTCCTTGGTGTCAGTGATGGTTCTGCTCAGTACAGGAAATGGTACTACGAGTTGATCGTGGATCAGGCAATACCATTTGTAACAGCAGAGGCCACTCACCTTAGGGTGGGCTGGGCCAACACCAGTGGCTATGCACCCTACCCCAGTGGAGGGGAGGGTTGGGGAGGCAACGGTGTGGGTGATGACCTCTATTCCTATGGCTTTGATGGACTTCATCTTTGGTCAGGTGAGCTGCTACGACTCAAACAAGCACCAGATACTGAGTCAGATTGTTTCCCATGACTGATTCAGAATTCAGATGTTTACATGTTGCAGATTAGAGGTTCAACCCAAACTGAAGTAAACTTTGTCCTCACTGTTCCTGCATCAATCCTGTACAGGCTGCATTGCACGAACAGTTAGCTCACCCAATCAGCACCTTCTGCGATCGGAGGATGTGGTGAGCTGCTGCCTGGACCTCAGCGTCCCCAGTATCTCCTTCAGGATCAATGGCCAGCCAGTTCAGGGCATGTTCGAAAACTTCAACTCTGACGGCCTCTTCTTCCCTGTGGCCAGCTTCTCTGCTGGGGTCAAGTCAGTGTTTTGCTACAAATTTTCACACAACATGACTATTGTTTATTCCTCTTGTGTTGTATAAGAGAAATGTATATTTTCTGTGACCATCAAATCCATAAAAGTTCGTAAAGTCAGTCTGTCTCAACTTCTGTGATTGACTGACTGACTGACCAGTAAAATGCATTAACTTATTTATTGAATATTTCCCAGTAGAGGTGAATGACACTATCCTTTGTATTGATTTAGTATGTACTTTACATCCTTTGAACATGGTTAAAGTTGTAATCAAATAGTTATCTATCAGTTTTTGAACTTCTGAAACAGTTTAGTTTATATAATTTGTGATATTTAAGTGTATTTTTCCCCCTTATATTGCCATTGTGCATACTGTTTTCTTTGATATTTGTGAATGTTTATACAACTATCTCTCCTCACTGATTCCCTGTACTGTGTTATGTCACACGGCAGGGTGCGTTTCCTACTTGGAGGCCGTCATGGGGAGTTCAAGTTCCTCCCTCCTCCAGGTTATGCTCCTTGCTGTGAGGCGGTGCTGCCCAGAGAGAAGCTGAAGCTTGAAGGCGGTCAGGAACAAACTGCAAATAAAGACTTACTGGGACCCACTATCACAATGAGCCAGGCAGCATTTACTCCTACACCTGTGGACACCAGCCAGGTACAGACACTGTCAGGCTTGTTTTGATAATCACCATTTTTTTTTTTACAATGACAGACTTTCATGCAGGTTATTTTGGTGTCCTTGAATGTACTTTTTCCACAAGTCATTAAAGTCTGTCAATCACAACCAACAAGGCAGAGCTAGGCTGAAGCAACTAACAAGTGATGCCAATAGTGACTTGTATAAATTGTTTGTCTCTGTGTGTGTTTAGATTGTTCTTCCTCCCCACTTGGAGAGGATCAGGGAGAAACTTGCAGAAAACATCCATGAACTGTGGGTGATGAACAAGATAGAACTGGGCTGGACCTACGGTGCAGTGAGTATTCAACAAGTAGATAATAACATTTTAACACTTTACACAATAACACTTTATTTATTTTTTGAGCATATTCATATACCCACATTACAAAAGTGTTGCAGAAAGGGCAGCTTATTAAAACAGCAAAATCATAAAATCATTCGATTTTAAAACAGATAAAACAATCCAGAAATCATGCAGGTTTTAAGAAGAAATTCTTAATTCAGCAAACCTGACGATTTCATGAAGGTCATTTCAGAGCCTTGTGGCCCTGACTATAAAAACTCTCCCTATAATTTTAAGATGAATTTCTGGAATTGATTAAAAAAACCCAGCCTTGTTCAAGCCACATGCTAGCTCATATGGTAGAGATCAGAAATATTGCACTGACCTCACCTTTACTTTGTTTATGATTGTGTGTTTCAGGTGCGAGATGATAACAAGCGACAGCACCCCTGTCTGGTGGAGTTCTCAAAGCTTCCTGAACAAGAACGGAGCTACAACCTACAGATGTCCCTGGAGACTCTCAAGTAAGCGTAGTGAGCAGAATAAGATGACATTAGATCGAATACCTTTCGCCCTGGTGACAAATAGGCTGTTATTCTACCGTATCAAACTCAAAGTTTTTGTTTCCCCTGACTTTGCAGGAGTATCAGTGATCGTGTCAATATCAAACATCTGCACATTGTATTAAGTTGCCTTCATGTATTTGTGTTTACGTATGTTCCAGAACTCTCCTGGCTTTGGGATGCCATGTTGGCCTAGCAGATGAGCATGCCGTAGAGAAAGTCAAGAGCATGAACCTGTCACCAACGTAAGTTACCTCAGCCTTTAATACAAAAAAAACAAAACAAAACACAATGACACAACTCACCAAGAACCAAATTGAGTCCCATCCATGTTACAATGCAACATGACACTTTCTTGATGTAATGAAGCAGCGATGCTTTGGGACATTTCATGAGACAATTTTATTGGAAAAAAAATAAAAGAGCAACAGAGACATGGCATGTTACATCAAATGAAAATCACACAGACACATAAACATTGGTAAGCAGTTTTAGCTGACAATGCAGTGCTCCTACTCTATCTGTGCAGCTATGAGTTGTCCAGTGGTTATAAACCTGCTCCTCTGGACCTGAGTCACATCAAACTGACCTCCACCCAGGAAGCCATGGTGGACAAACTGGCTGAGAATGCACACAACGTCTGGGCAAGAGACCGCATCCGCCAGGGCTGGACGTACGGCATCCAACAGGTTTGACACTGTTGTCTGTGTTAGTTCATAATAAGGAAGAGTGTGTAAGGAATGAGAAGGGAACGAATTGGGACTGATCTCTTAGTTGTTGTGTTAAGTACTTAATCCTGGACTGCATTGTAGATGATGATTGGTTTCTACAGGATTGATGGGGAAATATTACATGAGTGAATATTTAGTACTGATTAGCTGATAAATTTCTGTGAGTTGATTGTACTCCCAATTCTTCTTAAGTTGCTCCTAATTAACTCTTATTCAAAAAAGCAGCAGCTACTCATTCATTGCCAATTGCTCCAATGTTTGTTACTTTTTCTGTCACCTCGAGGACTGAGTAGATCCTCTTCATGATCACCTCACCTTTACTGACTAGTTATGCGTCCCTTCAAGTAAAGTGACGCATCACACTGAGTAGGAGAAATTTACCCAAATATTAGCACTACTGTATGTATATATATATATGTGTGTGTGTGTGTGTAGAGAGAGAGAGAGAGAGAGGAGTCATTGGAAACTAAATTTCCATTTACCTGTAGTAACACGACTCTGAGTGACTTGTAGATAATGCTAAATAACGAACAGCTTTCTTCAGATCACCCAGCTGATTGGGTAGGACCAGTGGTTAAGTCCATACTGAATACGTTCACAGGGAAAAGCAATCTAACAGTGTATGCTTGCTGCTTCCCTGAGCAAAATAAGGATCAGCATACATCAGAAACACTTACTGTTTCACTTCCCCCAATTATAGCCCATATTCTTGCAGATTAATTAGTTTTCTCTTTTCTACCCTCCTTGTGTCAGGATGTGAAGAATCGTAGAAACCCTCGTTTGGTCCCCTACACTCTGCTGGATGAGAGAACAAAGAAGTCCAACAAAGACAGTCTGAGAGAGGCCGTCAGGACTTTGTTGGGATATGGATACAACCTGGAAGCTCCTGACCAGGACCATGGTACAACACTGTACACACTCTCAAGTTGAAAACTTCATTCAGTGTCATTTTTTCTTATATTTGACATAGTAGGTTTTTGGGGAAAAGTGATTACTTAAATTATTCAGAAGTCCATTGATGATTTTTTTCAGTGATGAGATATTCATCAGATTGCTCACCAGATTGCTTCCATGCCCATGTCTCTTTCCCTCCATGCCTACCGCTCATCCAGCAGCACAATCTGACCTCAGCAATATGTCTGCTGAGAGGTTCCGCATTTTCAGAGCAGAGAAAACCTACTGTGTTAATGCTGGGAAGTGGTACTTTGAGCTGGAGGTAAGAAACAATAGGATAATGGTGATTAACATAGAGACTGAAATGCTAGTTTTCATTGACTACTGCATAGCTTTGAAATATGTACAAATGTAAACCTCTCTGTGATGCTGTCTTTGTAAAATAAAAATTACGTCTTCATTTTTGTAAATATGTTTGTTCAAATTAGTCACCTTAAGACCCTGGTTCAATCAGCCAATTTAGATCTTTTTGTTTATCATGAAAGGTTATAATAAATACAGTGTTGGTGCTATTCTGCATGCATTTCTTGGCCCATTATGGTCTGTAGACACCGAGTAGTATATGTCTGTTTGTTGTTAAAATTAATCTAAGTTTGAAATATGACTTCTGTCCACAACTTAGTTCATCATATTTGTCATACAGTTTCTGTAGTGAATATTAACTTGTTCCCACTTGTCCTCCAGGTTTTGACAGCTGGAGAGGTGAGGGTGGGATGGGCAAGGCCAGGATGTCTACCAGACCAGGAGCTAGGATCTGATGACCAGGCCTTTGTCTTTGATGGTTTCAAGGTGGCTGGATTTTTCTTTCTTCATGCTGTTGTTGAAAAACGTTTTTTTTTTCAGTGGAGATGTACACTAGAGCTCCTATGACTTATAAAAACACTAAAACATTCTGAGATTGCCATTGACACCAAGCAGCTGCTGTCGTGAACTATGCCTTTTAAAAAACAGATCTCTTACAGATCACTTACCATCAATAGGTGTTATCTTTTCCTTGAGTCCACACACAAATTTCACATCTTTATAAACTTTTAATGTTAATTGTTCATCAATCCAGATGCTGAGAAATTTATACTCTACTCATGACCTGACTAATGATTGAGGGAGTGTCCACAGTTTGCAGTCTGCACAGATGTTACCTGCCCATTTCCTGACTCTGGACATTTACAAGTCCTGGATGGAAGGAAAATCAGCCCTCAGAAATTTTTATGTAGTCCTGGCTGTCCCTGTGGTCTGACTCTGTCCTTTTTTGGTGGCTGATCCAAACCAGACAGTCATCAAAGAGCAGAGAACCGACTGAATTATTGCAGTGTAGAATTAGATCAGCAACTCATGAGGCAGGTTGAACTTCTTAGCTGGCGTAGAAAATACATCCTTTGCTGGCCATTTTTGTTAATGGTGTCTATGTTGAGTGTCCACTTAAGATCCTGGGAGATTGCGGATCCCAGAAACCACAAGGTTTCCACAGTAGACAGAGTGCTGTGTGTATACAGCCAGACTCTCTCCCCTACTGCGTACATTTCTTCGTAGTAAATAATTTATTGCCACATTAAAGTCTTTCGCACTCTTCATTCGCCACAATTCAGTAAGAACCAAGACACCTGGGTCTGCATGTGAAACTAATACGTTTGCCATGGCCTTATTTGGATCTAACTTGGCGCAAACTTCTGATATTAAAATGTAGATTGCAAACCTTTCCTGAATTTTAGAATATGCTGACTACTCAGGGGTATCATAGATGCGATTATTAAAATAAAATTTCCCACCATTGTGAAGCCTGGATTTCTTAAGTCCAGCCAAGATGGATGAGTAGGAGGCTGACATATATTAATTACAAGAGTCTGAATAGAAAGTCCTGGCCACAACAAAATGTGTGTTGAGACAGGAGTGAATGCGGAGACATGGCATAATGACCCTTTGACCAGATGTAGGAAGAGAGTAATCAGTTTCGCTGCACTGTGTTAGAAGCAGAAAAGTAGATCTGTGGTTGATTTTAGCGTTAAAAACATATTGCTGCCCCAAAGCTATTCGCCTTCTTTACAAAGATGTAAGCTGTTGTGGGCAGTTAAAACAAGTCTAGTATCACACACTGATATTGTCCACGACAGGGATTCCTTATGAGCCACAATGCCCTTTGAGCCAGATATGTTGTTGGTGGACAAGACTGAACTGATCTAGCCAAACCAAGAATATTGTTGCAGCCTGAAGAGACTACATTTTTTTCCAGCATCTAAGACAGGAGAGAGAAGACCCAAACAATATGATATCCAATAGTGCCATATAAATGCATTAAGTGAAAGAAGGAAGGTAGTTGTCATATAGGAAACTACCCTCTTGACTATATAGGGGGGTGGGGCAAACAATCAAAAAGGAGGGAAAAAAAACATGGAAAAAATTAAGCATCCAGAGAAACACATTGACAAGGAATTTTAAAATAAAACTAAAACAAAAATAACTAGGACAACAGTGTTTTCTGCAGGATTATTATACATCTGGCAATTGCTAATGCATGGTTTTGCTTGTAGTCTATGGCTGACTGTAATCAGAGATTTTATGTCAGATGACAGTTGAAGCTTTGCTATCCATTCTGCAGACGACAATATTCAAAGGGAACTAATGGACTAATCTGCTTAATCTTTGCTTTGCTGCACTTTGGCCCTGCTGTAAAAACACAAATCACAGTTTGCTCGAGGAATGCTTACTCCTGGGGAAGTTTGTGGACATTAATTCTTGCAAAATTAAAGCTCTTGGAGGAAAAACACCTTTAGCAATATATTGATAAGTTATTTTGCTATACAGGGGGGAAAAAAAACCCATATCATTTCACTAATGGCAGATCCTACAAACACCTACCATTCCACAGAAATCATCACTATAGTAATCAGGCGAGAGAGAATCATCCTCCTTATATAAATATCTCACAATGGGCAGGAACATCATCTCCACCAACTTTTGCACTTAAAGGATCTCCTCTCTTCATGGCTGATCACACCTGTATGTTTTTGTAAGCCGCGCTATACATGTACTTACGTGTTTTCCAGGTCCAGCGCTGGCACCAAGGCAATGAGCACTTTGGGCGTGCCTGGCAGACGGGGGATGTGGTGGGCTGTATGGTGGATCTGAATGAGCACACCATGATGTTCACACTCAATGGAGAAGTGCTGCTAGATGATTCTGGATCTGAGTTGGCCTTCAAGGACTTTGAGACTGGCGAAGGTCAGTGCTGTGCCTCGGACAAGACATACATGTACAGCTATGAACAAAACTTTATATATATGTTTATATGACCTGATAAAGGTCAAGCTTTCAAACATGTTTTACAGTTTGAAAGCTTTTTATGACGTATCATGGCAGTCTTAAGTTTTTTAATAACCACTATAACTTTTAATATTCTTCATTGGAAACAATTTAAAAGTGTTTTTTTTTGTCACAAAATCTATCATGCATTTGGACTCTTGCATTGATTTATTATAGGTCTTCTTGAAATATGACAACATCTGCTGGGTCGAAAATGAACAAACAGCAACATGAATTCTGAAATTTGATGATGTAGACAGTTGCATTAATCAATTTTTCTTAGTGGAATGACCTTTAAGCGTAACTTGTTCTGGCCAGGAGTACGCGAGTGAGACAAGCAAATTTTTAAGGCACCGTGGGAAGAAAATCCGTGGTCTAAGACACACATCGCACACAATGAGGGAGCAAGTGTCTCTTGTGTGTTAAGCATGACGCACGCACTCACAACTCATGAACAAAATCGAATGCACGGCGGGCGTACATCACCCCACGCCAGGAGTATGAAAGGCGTGCTCACGGCGCACGCTCGCGTTTCGCCAGTGATCGTCGATTGCATTATTGCAGGCCACACAGCACTGACGGACTGACTGTAGATTGGGCAAATACCAGGATAGCTGCAGATTATTAGAGGGAATTAATCTAATAAAATAAAGTAAACATGAAAAAAGAAACTATTTTGTCTTTGATTAGGTTGTTTCAAAAGCCTTTCATACAGATGTACAGATCAGGACCCTGGACAGCACAGCGCTACCAGGCAGCTGCATGTCTCAGTGCAAGGGCTGTTTCTTCTGTCACTGCCTCAGTATGAATGGATGAAAACACTGCATTACACTCATTCATCATCAATGGCACAACAGCCAAATGTTTTCACACACACAGAATACAAGCAGTGTTTTCTTACATTCCAGACGTGATAAGTCAGTTAGCAAATCACTGATCCCAATGCATAATAACCCCGGTGCAATGCACTGCCTGCACCGGCGGTAGTTATGCCATTGGGACACACGCACGCAGCCTGACTGTTGGCTATATTGCTGATGTGCAGATCTCACACTATATTGGGACATAACATTAATGTTTTTAAGAGATAATCGTTAGCGAATATGTGTAAAAATATATGAAAGTCAGTGTTACAGCTCATCCGGTCACTGGAGATGCTGCTGGCTGGTTTATGCTGGAAGTCAGTACTGGGGCTGACAGTGACACTGCACATGAGCTGTTAGCACCAAGTACTCAGGATCTGTGTGCGCTACACAAAACATGAAATCATATTTATTTTCATCACCATTTGTTAGAAAGTCTTAGCTTTTGTCCTGAAGTCAATTTGTATCATCCCGGATCTATTTTTATTTATTTTTTATCGCCCGGCATGACGGGACGTCCAGAAGCTCAAACCCTGTCAGTATGTTAAAAGAATTTACAAGACAGCCTATCACCTGCTTACCAAAGTGTTTCTGTTTTGTTTTTTGAAAATCATGTCAAACTGACGTACGCCATCAGTACGTCATCACGAGCGCGCGAGGCTGGTGTGACTTACTTTCGCTGTGCTTTTCATTCTCTTCATAAGTGGTGAGTGCATGCCATGTACGCAGGTGGCAAGACAAACTCTAGAAGTGAGTACAATTTCAACAGCAATCGCATGTTGCAGTTGAGTGAACGTCTCACGTCGCCCCTGTGACTCGCAAGGCAGGCTTGCTCCTCTCTTACGCATTTCTGATGGAGCCCTTGCAACCTTTCCTCTACATCTACAACCTCCACAGCCTCCATGGGACCCAAAATTCGCAGAGGATGTACAATCCCCAAAGTCATGCGTCCGGTTGTGACCGAGGTTGTAGTGATTAGGATCGACTACAGATGCTGACTTCTCTGAGCCAATTTAAATAGAGCCTATTTAAAACACTCATCAGACTCTTCTACAGATGGTGCAGTGGTAACTTCTAGAAGCTTAACAAAGATCTGAAAAAGCAAATAATTGACTTGAACAAGTCAAGAAAATCATTTGGAGCCATTTCAAAGCAGCTCCTAAAATTATGTGTGCAAACAATTGTTTGTGTGTATAAAGATCATGGCGCTGTTGTGTCACTTCTATGATCAAGAAGAAAATGCAAACTGTCACCTGCTTCTGAGAAACAATTGGTCAGGATGGTCAGTAGTCAGCAAGAGTCAACAAAAAGCAGGTCTGCAGTGAATTAGAAGCTGCTGGACAACAGGTATCAGTGTCCATAGTCTGGTGTGTTTAACATTGCTATGGCCTAAAGGCTGCTGTGCAAGAAGAAAGCACTCCCTCCAGAAACGGCACCTTAAGACTCAACTTAAGTTTGCTGCTGATGACATGGACAAAGAAAAGACCTTCTGGAGGAAAGTTCTGTGGTCAGATGTAAAAATTTTAGCTATTTGGCTAAAATGACCAGCCCAAAATCATCAGTGAGAAGGTTGATCTTGGATACAGTTGGGTGTTCCAACAACACTATGACCATAAGCACACAACAGTGGTAAAGAAATGGCTACATCAGACTAGAATGAAGGTTTTAGACTGATCTCCCCAAATTCCTGACTTAAACCTAACAAAGAAGCTGTGAACTGTGATAAAGAAGCAAGTCTCTGTCAGAACGCCAACAAATTGAGTTAAACTGCACCAATTCTGCCAGGAAGATCGGTCAAAGATATAAGCAGAAGCTTGCCAGAAGCTTGTGGGCGGATACCAAAAGAATGTTTGTCAGAGCACTTTGAAGGTAAAAGAACACTGACTGCAACTGTGTACAATGTGTGTTAGTCCATGCTTTATGAAGATTTCTCTTCTGTTTCTCTATTGACAAGGTGAATACAGAGTTTCATAAATGGTTCATTAAATGGCTCCTCTGTGTGTGCTTTTACAGGAAGTGATACAGCAAACCTTTAATTTCAGTATTTTATTGCTTCTGTCTGTTCTAGGTTTTATTCCAGTATGTAGTCTGGGCGTGTGCCAGGTGGGGAGGATGAACTTTGGCAAAAACGTCAGCACTCTAAAGTACTTCACCATCTGTGGCCTGCAGGAAGGCTATGAGCCATTCGCTGTCAATATGAACCGGGACGTCACCATGTGGCTCAGCAAGAGGCTGCCTCAGTTTGTACCTGTGCCCCCCAACCACCAACACATTGAGGTGGGTTCACCTGGAATATGCATTGCATTTAGTTAGCAATATGTAGCTTACTTCTGGTTGAGTTTGTGGTTAATGCAGATTTTTGGTACAACTTTTAGCACTTGTTAGCTCAGATTATTATTATTATTATTATTATTATTATTATTATTATTATTATTATTATTATTATTATTTGTCAAACGTGTTCTCTCTCATTAAACTGCTGAATAAACTACCTTCAAAGTTAGCAGAGCTGGTTTTAACATGCAAAACTGACAATAAAGACAGAGCAAATGTTTCCTTTTCAGGTGACAAGAATAGATGGGACAGTGGAGTCGTGTCCGTGCCTAAAGGTCACCCAGAGGTCATTTGGCTCACAGAACAGCTACACTGACATTACGTTCTACAGACTGAGCACGCCCATAGAGTGTGACGAATCCAGATCCTCACCTAGCAGCACTGTCTTCTCACCAAAGAGGGTAACCCATACTGTGTGCAAACTGCCATCTGTTATGTATCTTCGTCCTCCACTAGTCAAGTGCTGCTGCTCCCATGTATTAGAATATTTGCTGCACATTATCTCAGATTTCTTTACTGAGCTGAATGCATTTCTGTATTTCTATTTGAACTGTTTTCTTCCACAAATTTTGCAGTGATGCTAAAGTGAAAAGAGCAGGAAGTAGCAGCTCTAGGAATTGTATGTGATGTACTTTCATATCAGCTCTAACAAGCACAGTTCGGATATTTTTTTTCTCTTTTCCAAATGGTTTACTCCCCAGCTGTGAACATAAATATCATTTTAAATCTCAGCAAACTATTTCTAAATATATACCTAAATTGATCCATCTCTAACCTAATAACTCAAACCTGATCTGAGATTCATAGAGTTCCTAGCTTGCTGTGGGACCAAGCTACTTCCTATAACAGCAAAGTTATGTGTTGTGTGTACAACTGTCTTATTTCTGTAGGAGCTGGAAGACTTTGAAACTGTGTCAGACTTTGAGGTTCTGATGAAGACGCCTCACGGTCACAATGGTCCCAACGGACCTGACAGAGACGAATTCAACAACCACAAAGATTATAACCAGGAGAAGCCGTCAAAGCTCAAACAACGGTATGCCCTCTGTCCTGTCACAGATCAGAATGATTAAGAAAAATCCCATTTGTGATCTTCAATAGTAAACATGTAACATATTTTAAACAACTGTGTCATTATTGTCCAATTTTTGCACACTATTGTCACTCTTCTGTCACTGTGTTTGACTGCTACCATATTTTGAAACCTAAACCAACCGTATGATCCACAAGGTTCACACTGAAGAGAAACAAACCAGACAACAGCTGTCCCTCATCTGCTCGTCTGTCAGAGGAAGTGATGGCTGACGACAGAGATAGCTACGAATTCCTCATGCAGGCGTCTACTGTAAGGCAATACAATTTCAATTCACAAAATGCTGCACGTTACAGATAACCTGCCACTCTGTGACATAAATGCCCCCTCTCTCTTTTTCTCTCGCTCTTGCTTTTCTTTCCTTCTCTCTTCTTCTCCCTTCGTCTGTGCAGCACTACTACTCAGTCCGGATCTTCCCTGGTCAGGAGCCCAGCAGTGTTTGGGTGGGCTGGGTAACTTCTGACTTCCATCAGTACGACCCGGGATTCGAGCTGCACAACGTCCGAACTGTCACTGTTACCCTGGGAGACGAAAAGGGCAAAGTTCATGAGAGGTTAGTCAAGGTGTGGGCATGCCATATCTTGTGTCACGCATTGTCATATATGAATATATAGTAATTTTCGTCACAGTAGCTGTAGATTTGTAGATTTTCATGCCATTTTAAGACTGGGTCATATACTCACTAACTATTTTATTAGAAACACTTTCTCACCTGCTTATTTGTGTAAGTATCCAATTAGTGGATCAGTGGGTAACATCCTGCAGGAACAGGTCAGAAGCTTGAGTACATTTCAAACATCAGAATAGAGAAAAAAATGTGAGTTCACTGACTTTGACCATCAAGTCAGTTTAATTCCAGGCAAGTGTAGTCTGTTTCTGGAGTTTAGTCAGAATTTATGAGAGAAGACCACATCGGGTGGAACTCCTTTGCTCTCACAACAACCTCAGTTCTTGGGGTCATGGATTCAAAAATATTAAAAACATTCCTTTTAGATTCTGCTTCATGTTGCAGATTGGACAGCTACACATCCATGCTAGGTGACCTGATGGTGTAGTGGTTAGCACTACACTGCATAAAGAGTTCCTGTGTGGGTTTTCTCTAGGTGCTCCAGTTTCCTCCCACAGACCAAAGTCATGCATGCTGCATGGTTTAATAACCGATAGCCACATGTGGTGGATGTGAGGAAAGCAAAATATTGTGTTGAGATGTAGGAGTTTGTAGCAGCAGTTGCAGGCTTGTTGCTTGAGCTTCAGTTGGAGGATTTATGTTCCTGTTTGTTTTTTTTTCCCACTTCAGTGGGCCAAATACAATCAGTAGAGAGAAGCAGAACAGAGTATTTTAGATGTTTCTGTGTGTGGCACGATAAATAGATGTTCAACAGAATGGAGAGAGGGAGAAGGAACAATCTTCGAGGAGGACCAGAGAAATGTTTTCACTTAGAAAAATGTGCCTATTTGCTTTGTTGCTGAGAGTTTGGGTTGTTCATTCTAAATTTGCTGTGAGTGTGAGAGGATATGGTTGTTGTTCACTTTGTGTTAGCCCTGTGATGGACTGAGTGTACCCCACACAATCTATGTTGAAATATGCTCCAGCTCCCTGCAACCTCTACATGATAAAGCAGGTATAGTTCATGGATGGATGCACATTCATGTTACCAAACTTCCATTCCACCACATCCAGTTCCACCAAAATGAAGCTTGATTCGGATCTGGAAGCTGTGGAGGCCACTGATGTCAGCTGAAATCATTGTCATGTTCATCAAACCAGTTTAAGGAGACTTTTCTTTGTGACCTGCGGCATTATCCTGCTGGACGTAGCCATTAGAGGATGGCTATAAAAGGATGCATATGGTCAGCAATAATAGACAGGCTGCAACATTCAAGCCATAACAGATTGGTATCAAAGAGCCCAAAGTGGACAATGAAAACTCTTCACACTCCATCACACCACCAGCAGCAGCCTTGACTGGTGACTAAAGGCAGATTGGGTCCATGGAGTCATGCTTTTGATGCCATATTCTGAGACTGCATCACCTTAGCAACTGACATGAGTGAAACTCATTGTGGTCTTCAGCTGGCGCACTCATCCACTTCAAGACTGGACGTGTTGTCAGAGTCAGTGATATGATTTTTTTTTTTACTTCTCATGATATTTACAGGATTATATGTATTACACAACTGCCATATAGTTGGCTGATTGGATAGCTACAAGAATAAGCAGGTCTACAGTTGTTCCTACCAAAGTGCTCTGTGACTGTGTTACTTCTTATCTCATGTAGACTGAAACCCAACAGCTAAACTTCTAGTGTGAAATCAGCTATTTAGGCAGTAATCCATTAAATCTGTGTGTTTTTCAGAGGTCAGTTTTTTACCTTTATCTGACATGAATGTACCACTCTTTCCACTGTGTCCTGCAGTATAAAACGCAGTAACTGTTACATGGTGTGGGCTGGAGAGAGCAGCAGTCCTGGTCAGGGCAGAAACAACAACGGCTTAGAGATTGGCTGTCTGGTTGACACAACAAACGGTTTGCTGACTTTCACAGCCAATGGCAAAGAACTCGGCACGTACTACCAGGTAAATATTTGATATGGTGTCTCAGGTTTTTGCATTATGTTGGCCCAAGTTCCTGTTCCTCCCTTTTCCTTAGTTTTTCTATCAACACACCAAAATACGTATAATTTCTTTGAGCCTTTTTTTTGTTTTTTGCACAAGTGCTATTAAAAGAATAATACTCAGTATGTTTTCCTCCACATAGTCTTGCATGTAGTTAAACAAGTGTCAACCAGGAAAGAGTGCTCTGCTAATGACAGTTTTGCTCACTAGATTGCTAATTAGCTAAAGTGAGAGTTGAAAACCGTAACAGCAAATGTCAAGATCAGTTAGTTTAGAAGCTAACTGAAACTGACAAAACCCTGTCTGATCTTGGGTTGTAAGTTACAGTAGGCAGAGCAAGTTTTGTCACATTGTCGATTGTGGCGCTGTCTGTTCAGCTTCCAGTCAGCAAGACAAGGGCCCCCTTGTCTGTCATCTGTTCCGTGGTGCTGCATATGCTTATGTGATGATGTTATTTTGACTTGATTTTCTACTGCAAAGAAAGCAAGACTAGTTGTGATTTTAATTTGACTTGTTGTAATTATGCACTCCTCTGCGCAGGTGGAGCCCAGTACTAAGCTGTTCCCTGCAGTCTTTGCCAAGGCCACCAGTCCTAATGTCTTCCAGTTTGAACTGGGCCGTATTAAGGTGAGAAGTCTGTGTAGTAGAAGTTTTCCCTTTCACCCATTCATTGGATGAGAAGTGAAACATGCACACGCACACATACACACATTTTGGCTTTATCATTAAAATAAAACCAAAGTATTGTTTCAGCTTGAGGGCTGTACAGTACAGATGTGACCTAATGGATAATGTACCTAATTGAGGGACATACATGGTGTGTAGAATTGTACTTTTATACAGAAAAGCAGTGCTGCATTTTAGCAGCTGAAGGTTCATACAATTAATCAGGCAAGGTTCATAATTATAGAAAACAAATCCAACAAAACAGAAATGCAAAAACCACAAAGACATGGGGAGCTAAAGGGACGCAGGAGAGACAGGTGGTAAACACGCAGGGAAACAGGAGGTAAAACTGACAAACTGTACTAAACTAAACTAAAAGAGGGAGACACAAGATGAAACACAGGTGAAATTAATGAGGAACAATCAGGAAAAGAGGGAACACACACAAGGGAGGTAGTAAAACCTCAAGCAGCACATGAGGAAGGAATCAATCAGAAAATTAACTAAGCAAAACCAAAGACCCTAACAGTATCACAGAGAAACAAACATGTTTCTGTATCAAGACTTACTTTTAAAACCTCCTCTTGTGGAAATCAAGTCTTTAACATTGTTGACATGTCCATGTGATGTTTGTAGAGTTGGTGGATGGAGAGAGGCATAGACTTTATGGATTGGTACATTCTAGAGCAAGCAATGGGGTATAGTTACATCTCTGACATTTTAAGACAGAAAGTATTTCCACAAAAAAATTACATAGGGACATACTTCACAGATATTAATTTAAAGGGGTCATATTAAGAGCTGGAGAGAGACTTTAAATCCTCCTGTTACAATTCATTAAGATTTATAACATCCTTCTGGTTTGATGTCTGTTTAGTGACACCTTGTGCCTGAAGGAGGAGGTTACAATGAACAGGATTAACAAAGAGAAAGAACAGCAGCACTTGTGTGCCTTTAACTTTGCTATCTATACTAAGCAAATTAAAACGGAAATAAAACAGAGCAAGATCCTGCTTTATTCCTCACCACACCCAAGATTTACTTATGTCAGTTTGAGATAGAATGATGTCTCATACACCAATGACCACTTGGTTTACAAATTAAAAAAACACAGTGTCCACATCTGTTTGGTGTGATGGTGTAATACTGTCCTAACATTTCTCTATGTCCTGTCAGAATGTGATGCCCTTGTCAGCTGGTCTGTTTAAGAGTGAGAGGAAGAATCCAGTTCCCCAGTGTCCTCCACGGCTTCATGTCCAGTTTCTCACTCCGGTCTTATGGACTCGTGTTCCCAATCACTTCCTCAAGGTACTGTAGCAACTTCTACTTGGATAGATTTCAGATGTTTTTCAATTTACCGTAAAAGCCCATTTGCCAAATGTCGTAGTAGAACAATATAGAAGTAATGGCTTTATTAGTTTTATGACTCCTCCATACTATACTGCAGTGAGAACCACACAGTGGGCTGATCCTGAGACAGTTCCTGCTGGCCAGAATTAGAACATGACCTGATGCTTTCTGTGTGTAAAGGGCTAACTGTTTTTGTCCAGGTCTCTGCATCCAGAGTGAATGACCGACATGGCTGGCAGGTCCATTGTAATGAACCACTGCAGTTCATGTCTCTACACATACCAGAGGAGAACAGGTGGAGTAGCAGCAGTTTACACGTGCACATTTTCATCCTCTCACAGTCTAATGCCTCATGCAGTGTCTCTCTCTGTGTGTCGTCTAGGTCGGTGGATATCCTGGAGCTGTCTGAACAGACAGACTTATTAAAATTCCACTACCATACCCTCAGACTGTACTCTGCAATCTGTGCTTTGGGAAACAATCGGGTGGCTCATGCCCTCTGCTCCCACGTTGACGAGGCACAGCTCCTGCAGGCTATCGAGAATAAGTATATGCCAGGTAACACACGCAAGCAACCTTAGAAATTGTGTAGTTACCTCTGCTGCTGTATATTGTTATGATACATATCAGCATAATGCATTGTTTTCACTCATAAGAGAGTTGCTTTAGAAAGTTTTGCAACCCCTTTGCTTGTTGTGCTGTAATTTTAAATGAATACAGCATTGTTTTTTTCCTATCAATCTGCACCCATTAACCCGTAATGACCAAGAGAAAATATGTTTTTAGACATGTTTGCAATTTTATTAAAAATCAAATACTACAGATTCAGGTCTTCTTGGGTAAGTCTCAACAGACTTGGCACACGTGGATTTGGGTAGTTTGTCCCATTCTTCCTCACAAATCCCAACAAGCTCACATACAAGAGGAACCATCTGTAAACAGCCATCTTCAGATATTTTCATGGATGGTCTGTTAAGTTTAAATCTGGGCTTTGACTTGGTCACTCAGGTCTTGTCCTGAGGCCAACCTGATATTTAGTAAACTTTAATAAAGTTTCTGAAAATAAATTGGGGAAAAACATTTAAATTTTAATCCACAGCACAACAGTTTCAAAAAGTGAACCAATCTGAATATTTTACAAAGCACCTGTGTCATGTTGTAGTTGATTAGGCTGGAGACACTATTTTGTATACTGTTGGATATATAACACTAAAAGTGTAATCATATAAATGTATGTAAACTGTGAATGTGCAATGCTGTTGGTAAATTAGATGAAATAAAAAGTACAAGATATGTAGTACTTGACTAAATGTAACTAGTTACTTTCCACTATGGTGATGATTTAGCAAAGGTGAAGCATTGCATTATGGGATTGTTAGCAAAAACTATGCAATTGTGGGATTGATTTAAGGCTCTCCCGCAGCAGAAGGGTTTACCAAATATAGACATGGTTAGGACTCATACCACATGGGTAAAAATATCCTGGTCAAGTAACTGGTTTTACTCCTGTCTGGCTGGACCATTTGCTCCATGTCAAATAGCACATAAGAGTCATCTAGTATTACAATTCATGTTTCAGTTGATGTTACTATCCTTCTGTCTGTCTCTATCCACAGGCCTGCTTCGTGCAGGCTACTACAACCTCCTCATTGACATCCACCTGAGCAGCTACGCAACAGCTCGCCTCATGATGAACAATGAGTACATTGTTCCCATGACTGATGAAACAAAGAGCATCACCCTGTTTTCAGATGAGAAGAAGAAGCATGGCCTGCCAGGCATTGGACTCAGCACCTCCCTGAGACCCAGAATGCACTTCTCATCCCCGAGTTTTGTATGCGGGGCTGGACCATCGGGTCGTAACAATGGCAGCAATGGATCAGGATCAGGAGACTTTTTTCAGTACAGCCCAGAGTTCCCCTTAGATATACTGAAAGTTAAAACCATTGAGATGCTGACAGAGGCAGTACGAGAGGGAAGCATGCATGTACGGGATCCAATAGGAGGAAGCACAGAGTTTCTGTTCGTCCCCCTCATCAAACTTTTCTACACCATGCTCATCATGGGAGTTTTCAAAAACGGAGACCTAAAGAACATCCTCCGACTGATTGAACCATCTGTGTTCTCTGAACGAGATGAGCAGGAGGAGATCCGCATGGAGCTGGAGACTGTGAAGGATGTGGAATCTAAGGGAGGAGGAGAGGATGGTGGGAGTAAAATGCCTAAAGAAGGCCTGTTACAGATGAAGCTACCAGAGCCTGTAAAACTCCAGGTGACACTCAGTACATCCTTTTGAAATTTTATTTTAAATTTCACTGTAGTTCAACATCCCTCAACCAGAGGAATGAGACTATGTGTCACATATACTAACAAAATTATCAACGTCATAAGTGACAGAACAAGGTCTGTATTTCAGTGGCTGAACCTTGTAGAGTAGAGAGAGGCAAGTGACTTTAATAATCCAGCTGAGCTGTTTAAGGCTGCATGCTCACCCTGCCATTTGTTGCAGTTTAAGCTCATCTTTCACTGAACTTCTGTCACCTTCTGATTAAATTTACGCTGCACACAAATGTTCTCTTTCTTCCTCAGTTGGAGGCAGCACCAAGGAGGTTTTACTTATGAAAAAATCTTTGAAATGCTGAGTTTTTTTTCCTGTGATCGTCCTTGTTCAGCATTCTCTTACAGGATAGGTTCACATATTTTCAAGTCTGTTTTAAAGTAATGTCCATATAATGATGACACTGTCCAGCTGTTTAAAAATCCAGCGGAAAATAAAGATGATACATTAAAGAATAGAAACAACACAAGCTCAATTACCAATGAGTCATATTTCTGAGAGCTAAGGGCAAAATCACCGAAGTATTTACAGGTTCACAATTATGCCTATCCTTCAGCAGTTTCAAACTAGCACTTTCAAAAGGTTGCACAGATGCTGCAATGACAGTGACACCAAAGCTTTCTGTCAGAGGGATGTACTGTATTCTACGAACTGACTTAACAGCTCTTTCTTATTTGTTTTTTTTAACCCAAAATCACTCATCAATTGTGTGGTTGTATGTGTCTAATGTGTGTGTGTGCTTGTGTGTAGATGTGTCATGTGCTGCAGTACCTGTGTGACTGCCAGGTGCGCCACCGGATCGAGGCGGTGGTGGCTTTCTCTGATGACTTTGTGGCCTGTCTTCAAGACAACCAGCGGTTCCGCTACAATGAGGTGATGCTGGCACTCAACATGTCTGCAGCCCTCACTGCCAAGAAGACCAAAGAGTTCAGATCTCCTCCTCAGGAACAGGTAAGGAAACTACTGAAAAAGATTGAGACTGGCTGAACAGAATAGAAGTGGAGAAAATAAAAAGGTAGGACGGACATGTCAATACATAGCCCTGCGATAGACTGGCGACCTGTCCAGGGTGTCCCCTGCCTTCGCCTTAAGTCGGCTGGGATAGGCTCCAGCCAGCCCGCGATCCTAGTGAGGATTAAGCGGTGTAGTCTGACTGTTGGGATGAAGGACCTGCGGTTCCTTCTTACTTTGGGTGTAACAGTCTGTCGCTGAATGCACTGCGTAAGGAGTTCACAGTCTGATGCAGAGGGTGGGAGGTCGCTAGATTTGTCGCTAGTCACTTTTGACAAAAAAACAATTGCCAAGAAGATTTGGAAAGTTGCCAGATTTAGCGAGAAAGTCACAAAGTTGACAACACTGCGCATGCCAGCAGGTGTCGCACAACAGCAGTTGTGACGCATATTTTGAACAACAAAAAAATTTAACACGTTTTGTTTTAATATTACAAGTTCACAAAAATCTTCAAATTTAGAATTACATTTTAGAGCTAAAAACAAAACAAAACAAAACAAAACAAAACAAAAAACTTTTAAATTAAAATACTCATTATTTATTTCCAAAGCCACAAGGAGCCGCAGCAGAGGTATGAAAGAGTCACATGCGGCTCCGGAGCCGCGGATTGCCGACCCCTGGTCTAGAGTTTCCATTGACTCCTATACCTCCTATTTATATGTGTTTTTGACACACACAAAAACAATCATGCATTTTGGCCCCTTCATAGATTTCTTATAGGTTTTCTGGAAATATGACCAAATCTACTGAGTCAAAAATATAGTAGAAAATGAAGACTTGTGGGAGCTATTAGACACTCAATACTTCCAAGAGATACATGATCTTCACAAGTGTATGTAAACTTTTGTTTACAACTGTACAGAATACCTTTAAGCATTTGATTTAAAGATGTTTAATCATAACTGTGAATTCTATTTGAGTTAAAGTCTGCAGAAACAGTAGTTACTGCTACTCTGCTAAACCAGGCTAGTTAGCTTTTAGCTAGGAGCACTTTATCTGATGCTACTGTTTTCTCCAATGATTTAAGATTCTGCTATTGTCTAGATACAGTGTCTACAGTCAGCGTTAATAAGGTAATAAGGTATTTATGTGGTGGATCAAATTTAGCTCTGAGGCTCAGGAAAAAATGAAAAAGTGGTTACATTAGCAGCACTGTTGCCTCGCAGCAAGAAGGTTGCCGGTTCGCGTCCCAGTGGGGGCACCGGAATCTCTCTGCGTGGAGTTTGCATGTTCTCCCCGTGCAGTGTGGGTTCTCTCCAAAAACATGTTGAGGTTAATTGGTGGTTCTAAATTGTCCGTGAGTGTAGATGTAGGTGTGCTTGGTTGTCTGTTGCTAAGTGTGGGCCTGCGATAGACTGGCGACCTGTCCAGGGTGTCCCCTGCCTTCGCCCTGAGTCGGCTGGGATAGGCTCCAGCCCCCCCGCGACCCTAATGAGGATTGAGTAGTGTATAGATAAAGGATGGATGGATGGGTTACATTAGCTTTAGCTAAAGCAAACAGCTAGCCTTTAACGGAATAAGTACAGTCACTCTGTTTTCTAGAAAAGAAAACCATAAGAGGATAAACTAAGAAACATGAGGAA